AAAAAAAAAAAAAAAAAAAAAAAAAAAGAATATCTCTAGTGGTATACCAGGCAAGCCCTGTTTTGAATAATCTGAAATTACAGATCAGTAACAGAGGATGTTTGCTATAAGTGAAGTACTGAATAGTGGAAATCTTTAATTACCTGTTGTGCCAGTTCCCAGCAGTAGCCTTAAATTATGTTCACATAAGTGTATTCTCTTGTAACTTGTGTAGCTGCGACAGCTGGTAAGTCCTCTGATTGTACCTCACAGTGCTTTACTGTGTTGACATCAAGATACATATTTTCATTATTGAGAATTTCCAACCCAGCTTCCGTAGGGAAGGATTGGTCAGCACCTCGTAATGTGAAGGACGGCGTTACTGGTGAATGGGGGTGGATGCTGGAGCTGTGCCTGCTGAACTTGTATATATAACGTTATCTCTGTTGGGAAATACTTGCGAGTTCCAGTACAGGACTCCAGGAATACACATCGCTTGAGAGCTCTTTGTGTCCCAGGGCAGCCTGGCTAAGACCCAAGACCCCTTTGAAGTAGCAGACTGACTTCAAAGAGAGTAGAGCCTCCTCTGATAGTGGGGGCAGAGGAGGAAGAGCACTGGCTTGGAGTCAGGCTGATAGTGGATTCCAGCCCAGCCTCTTACGTGCTGTGTGACCTTCGGCAAGGTATCTAATACTCTCTGTGCCTCTGTTCCCTCATGTTTAAAGCAAGGTGAGATCTTACAACACATGAAAGGAAATTGAGGGTACTCTGAATATTAGCTCTTCTTACATGTAGAAAATGGATTTTTCATTCCCTTTTGTTCTTTCCACTCTTAATATGGAGAAATGAGCTATTGTGGTGACGGGAGGGAGGGGCTGCCCTAGAAGCAGTTTACTGTGTGTATGGTATGGTTGTTAGTTCTTAGTTGGGAATCGCCTCTGTTAATATCCTTTGACAGTCCTCTTGCATCCTCTTCTGTTTGCCCATACGAGCAATAATATGATTATGGTGGAAGTGTTCACTCCTCTGACATTCTTTGAACCTGCCTGAGCTGTCAGTGGGACAGATAGGAGGGGTAGAGTTTTGTTGCCATAGCTCGCTCTTTGGACAAGTGCCTGACATCTGCTTCATTGGGTTTTAGCTTTTACTGGTGTTGGTGCTTTTATCTGTCATATCCAAGCATTTCAGAACTTTCATTACTTCTCCTTTGCAGGTTAATACGGCTGCAAAAGGGCCCCCTCCTTTTCCAGGGGCACCCCTCATGAGCTCCCCCGTGGGAGGCCCTCTACTGCCGCCCATTCGATACGGACCACCTCCTCAACTCTGCGGGCCTTTTGGGCCTCGGCCACTTCCTCCGCCCTTTGGTATGATGATTGAACGGTAGTAATGGACTTGTGAAGTGTATTCATCTTTTCACTCTAATCCTTGATAAAATTTTAACAGTTGCTATGCAGGGCTGTGCAATGAAAGGGTAAAGCTGGCTGAGTACATTTGAACTTTTCTGCCAGTTTCTCAGGACCCATGGGGTGCTGCATAATCTCCCTGTACTGAGATGGGCAGTAGGTATCTCTTGTAGACAAGGGAAAATGGGCTGTTCATAGAAAGTCAGAAATATTATTTCGGCCTATGTTTCTTGAACAGCTCTGGCTACGTACTAGGCTCCGTAATGGATGGAATTAACTCTCCTAACTCCAGGAGCTTAAGGTGTCCTATAGGACACATACATACATTATATACAACATAAAACTTGTAATCACCATGATGGAAGTATAAGCAACGGGTCACAGAGTATAAAAGAAGGCAAGATTAATCCATCACTCCCCACCTTGGGAGTAAATAGGAAGGAAATGTTAAAGAGAAGGTAGAATGTAATAGCTACTAGGTAGAATGTTGCTGAATTTAATTAGGTGGAGCTGGAAGGCCTTTCCCAGCAGGGCAGACACCTTGATTTTGATGGCATATGTAGGTCCATGCTGACTACTGCATGAGTTTTTAATTGATACAGTAACAGTGGAATTTCCCTTATCAAAATTTACTAACAGTGAAGCCCTTATTTCATAATCTATTGTCTTAGTATGATATATAGTACTTCTAAGTACAAATCAAGCTCTTGTGAGATAAAGACAGCAGAATTGTGTTGTCGAAAAAACCACAAGCTAGGTAGAGCCACGTTTAAATCCAGCCTGTGTTGCTTCATGGCTGGCTGGCTACAGGCATGTATTAAACTTGCTGAGCCTCAGTTTGCCTCATCTATAAAGTGGGGATGCCACCACCTGACTTCCAGGGGTATGAGGAATTAAAGATTAACATACATGGAATCATCTAAATTTAGATATGTTCATATGTAGTTACATGACTGAATTTTAATTTTTCCAGGTCCTGGTTTGCGTCCACCACTAGGCTTAAGAGAATATGCACCAGGCGTTCCACCAGGAAAACGGGACCTGCCTCTTGACCCTCGAGAATTCTTAGCAGGACACGCACCTTTTAGACCTTTAGGCTCTCTTGGCCCGAGAGAGTACTTTATCCCTGGTACCCGATTACCACCCCCAACCCATGGCCCCCAGGATTATCCACCTTCCTCTGCTGCAAGAGACTCACCGGCTTCCGGCTCCAGAGGTGAGCCCCCGCCTGCCTCTCAGAGCACGAGCCAGGGCTGTTCGCAGGCTTTCAAACAGAGCCTGTAACTGACCTCGGACATTTAGTCTGAGAGAAAGTGGACTGTGCACTGTTCATGACAGTAGAGGATTTTCACTGGCTTCAAAATCCAAAAGTTGATTTTAAAAGGTTTGTTTTTAGAACTAAGCTGCCCTGGCAGTGTGCATTTTTGAGCCAAACAGTTAAAAAATATCATTTCCCCCGCCCCAAAGTAAAAATCACCTTGTAAGCTAGAGCCTCCTTACAACTTTGAAATGTGCAATAAAGAATACCTGTGTTTTAGTTAATGTAGTATATGTAACTGCTAAATGATTTAGGATGTCGTGAAAAATATGAACATTTCCTGTGGAAATGCTATAAGAACATGTATTTCCATTTATTATCCTATTTTTAGTGTACACCAGTTGAATACAGAGCAACCGTATTTATAAGCTTGATTTTTAAAAAATATCTGGTCGCAACGACTGTTACGCTAAAAATGTTTACTAAAAGATCACTAAACTTTTATCTCCCCTCTTGCTGAAGTTCTTTGTAGTAACAGTTCATAAAAATTTGGTTATTAATATTTCCCAAGTGTCTGTTGATTCATTGTTTTCTCACGAGACTTGTACCATTTTGGAAACATGTAAACTCAAGCTCCCAGAACTGAAGATGGTGACCTGGCAGCACACTTTCCTGGCTCACCACTCATGAGTTCAACCTCAAAGTCACCGGGAAGCACCACAACTGATATGTCTTCCTTCTACTTCAGAGAAGTCAGTTCGCCAATTTGGACAGCATTCACGTGCTTTCTGTGGCTCTGCCTGGTTGAGAATGGTTTTCTGAGTATGCGTTTACATGTAGCAAGAATTGTTTGACCTGATATTCTGTTGCTTTTACCGTTCTTGCGTTAGGGTGCATAACAGAAAAATGAAAATGATGTGTCATGACCATAAAAGTAAGAAAATTTCTTTTAAAAAATGCAGAGAGTCTGTTATTTCTCCTATACCTTGCCGCTGACTTTCAAGCAATATGGCGAAAAAGGGCAAAGAGTAGGTAATACGATGAGAAAGAATGATTTAGGATTGTGAGGCTTGTAACATGCCCTAGGTCAGCAACCATGGGCTGAACTCAGTTCTTTTTGTTGACTGATCCTATTCCAAACTTCATATTTGAATACTGGCCCCTCTGTTTAAAAATCAGTAAATCTGAGAATCTAGGATTGCATCATACTTGCTATACCCATTACTTGTACCAGGTCTTTTAAACAATGTTTCTAAGCACTAACTCATCAGACACTTTAAACTATAGTAACTTTATAGTAACTTTGTAGCACATTTCAAGAAGTTTAAGATTTCAATTAAGTCAGAATTATAAAAGGTTGATATTGTTGTTCACGGCTAGATCATACTCTTGCATTCTCTGAAGTTCTGTGATGTAATGATACTACTGAAGTCTGCACCGTGACTTGTCACCATTAGGATATTTAATCCTCTTAGAATACCTTATAAGATAAAGCAAATGCTTCACTGTGAAACAAAATTTTTTCTTTATACTAAACTAAAAGATGCCACTTTAGAAAGATACGGACCGTTGAAAGAAGACAACTCTTCCAAAGTTCATAACGAATACATAAGGAGTTTTTCAGGAAAAGAGAATTCTATCTCTGTGTCCTGTTTATTATCAAGAATAGAAGAAATTTAAGAGGAAAACTCCATAGTTAACAGCATAGGTTATTCTTAACCATGTAAAATAAAAAGATTAAGTCACAAATACAGCTTTTGAGTATATCAGTCTCTTCAGGACGTGAAATAATAGTGAAGTTAAGATAAATTTTTTAAATAGTATTTAAATAGAGATTACACCAGTTAGGAAGATAATACAGTAGCAAAGGTAAATTAAATCTATCTCAACATCAAATCCTGGAGTCTTTTTCTTTTTTAACCTCTAAAGCCTTTTTGGTGTTTATTCTGTGTTTCATATTGAGTTGTAGAGAACTGCCACCTGTGGCTTAGCCGAGCGGCCCCAGACTTGCCGTCCCTGCCGCCTCTCAGAGACCTCTGTTTGCACCCCTTCGGCAGCCCAGCCCAGGCAAGCTGCCAATTTGGAGAGGGTGTGGGGGGCATCACCCTGAGTCCCATCAGCCCCAACTGGCTTGAAAATTACGTCTGTTTCAGAAGTCATCTCCAGCTAACTGACCGTCTTTCTGGGCTTAGTTGCTAAAGTCATCTCAGTTACGGAGCAGCAGCGTTTCAGCCTGGAAGTCTGCTGTAGTTGTGGTTACTATTCAATGGCTGATCTTTTCATCGAAAAGTAAATAATTTGTGGGATGTGGAGTATTCTGTGTCTACTGCTTCGAGACAGTCGCTCGTTTTGTTATTTCATTCAGGTCTGAATTACAAAGCTAAGCTAATCAGCCGTGTTCGATTTAAGCTTCTTTAACACTGATGAAAGGCATTTGTAGTTCATCTAAGCCATACTTTTGTGAATGACAGCAGATGTGACAAACTATCACCTTGATATACATGTCTTACGGTCTATGAGAAAAGAGAAAGAACAGTGTATCAGTTTTGCTACATTTTAATGGTAGGTTTTTTAAGGGATTATTTTTAGGTCTTGTCAGCAACATCAAACAAAAGGTACTGAGTACTCCACAGGGTACAGAGCGCTGCCAAGCACCTCAGAAAATGTACGTGACATGGAGAACGTGTGGTTCTTGCCCCCTGAGGAGCTTACAGTCTGGGGCGGGCAGGGCACGGGGCTGACAACTCACAGTCTAAGAGTTGAGTGAACAACAAAGTAATTTATTAAGGCAAATTCCTCATCCCCTCAAGCTACTGTGGATGGAATCATCTGGAATTAAACTAATCAAGAGGGAAGCAAGACTAAATTGGGTTGAGAATTCTTCAGGCTCATACAGTTTTTTAACATCCATCATAGTAAACAGAACTGACCTAACAGACAACTGAAAGTGGAGACTAGATCTCTTGAAGTGCAAGGGCTAGGACTTAATTGTGGTTACTTATTTTAAAAAGCAAACATACTGAACGGTATTGACTAGGCTTATTACACGAGTTTAAAAGTAGGCCAAGTACTGGCACCGCGTTCCCCTCATGCTAGCATTGGTCATTTAAAATAGTGAATATTAAATATGTGGGCTCCACATCTAACCCACAGAATGCCCACCCCCAATCTTAAATGTTCTGTGTATCAAATATCCACCTTGTGTGTTCTATGAAAGTTTTATTTATGCCCCATTATTAAGTCAAAAGAATGTAAATAGTCAAATTATAAAAAGCTAATGACCTGCAATATTTCCATATGGATGAATGTCAGTATATCTACATAGGAAATAAATGGCAATCCTATCTACCTATATAAAAAAAAACTAGAATCTCTCCAGATTTGCATACTCATCACTGTAAGAAGAGGTGTGCAGGTTTTAAGGTTTCACAATCAGTTGTCAGAAAAACAGCAGTTATTCCTGCGGTATCTTGTTAGCATCTGACTCAAATTATTTTTAGATTACACGACTTAGAAGACATTATAAACCCACCAAGAATTTGTAATTATTCTGAGATGGTTCCATCACTAACCCCAGAATCACTATCAGAAAGAGTAACGATCTGATGTAGAAAAAAGCTAATCAACATGACTAAAAATATGCTCACTTTCAGAAAAACGATCCGGTCATCTGGAAAAATCACAGCTACCACCTGCGAACACGCCCATATGGGATACTGATTTGGCCAAGGCACACTATTTCTAAGCAGGAGAACCATGAGATCAGGGGGAATCAAGGCCGTCTCTGAGGAGCAGCCTATAAATTTCCAGACTGACCTTGGGCCGCATAATTGGTCCAATTCCTCTCAAAGCAGTTTCATACTGTCCTACCCACATCAACCCAAAGTTTGACATTAACTCAAAAAACCGAAGAGCATATTGGAGCAGAAGTGGACAGGTGTGTAAACTCTAGCACACTCTTATTGCTGTATTAAGTGTGAAGGTGAGCACATTCCACCCACAACAGTGTCGTTCCAGGAAGCAGGGCAGGAATAGTGGCAAATTAGAGAAGAGGCTATTCATTGCACAATCAATAGAAAAGTGAAAATGTTTTAAGATCTACAATAAGCCTGTATCCAGAGGAGTCTTTCACATCAGTGACGTGCTGGACTTTGAATTCTGTGCTACAGCTGTGTAATGGACTCGCTCTGGCCTGCTGGCCTGGGTACGGCTTGCTTCCTGCCTGTTGAAGGGCGAATGTGCTACACAGAGCTAGGATGGTTTCTACTGAGTGGTAAGATTCACAGAAGTTCCAGGGTATTCATGTCAGGATCATTCCTTGTGCAAAGTTTGATGCAGATGAAGATAAAGTGGTTTCTTGGTCAATAACTGCAATTTCTTTCTTTTAAAGTCAGTGGGTTTCTTGTATCTGTAACCACAATAGAAAAACCATTGATAACTGATCTATTCCAAGGTTACGTATTAAGAAGACAGAGTAGTCACCGTTAAATTAGTACTAATTCTGTACGTGCATCACTTACAGTTCTATTACAATTGGCCCAGGTTTAATTTCATCCATCTCCATGAAAGCAAAACATTTGGTGCTGGTAAACCTTTTTTTAGGCTTGTAGTGTTTGAATTCAAAGAAAATAGCTGCACCTAAGGAATTAAAGCAAAGCAGATTAGCCACAGACGGCACATTTCTAGTGTCAATAATTTTCTTTGATCACCAGAAGCCTATGAACAAGCAACAATTGTCATAATTTTACAAAGTAACCTCTGTCAAACAATCTCTCTGATGATACGACTGACTATGGCTGTCACCCCAAAACTCATCTGTACCTGAATAGAGGGACATGTCTCCGTATCATCCTATTCTACAGAGTAGAGCAAAACTTCTTGAGCCAGAATGACTCAAGAATGTAAGTAAGTTCATCCACAGGTAGAATTATAAAATATTAAGAATAGAAAATACTAAATACTACCAAAAAAACCCCACAGAAGATACTTGTTAAGTGTTAACATTACTCATAGAAACGCATTAAGTAGAAAAGGCATGTAAAAGAGTTCATCAAAAAATCCAAACTTAGTTTCTCGAAACAAAAACTCAAAAATTCAGTTTTTGGGAGTTTGAAGTTTGGAGTCTGAACAACAGCTGGTTCAGTTTTTAAATGTTAACTGCTTCCTAATACCTTTCTCAGTGTCCAAAGCCCTGTTTTGTTTTTCCTGGAATGACATGTGCTTGTGTGAAGACAGCGCTAAGCAAGACGAGGGCTTAGAGAGCACACCGATCCCACCCCTCCCCCAGTGAACAAGTGGTGATGAAACATGTAGATAGTTTTCTCTCCCCAAAGCCCAACAGATAAGCTCTCTCCCCCTCCCCACAGAGAAAAGCTAAAAACAGAATAATAAATCGCCTCGTCTGTGTAGCCAAGAACAATTAATTTCTAAAGGCAACGAAAGAGACGGAAGGACGTCAGGGTCTCCCTGTTATCTGGCTCCTTATTAACAAAGGCTTAACCAGAGCGGTGCTGGATCTTGCTTTGCTTTTAAAGACAACTAACATACATCTAATACTTTCACTGATGACAAAACTCACAAGTGACCAGTTTAACAATGTTCAGAAATGTGTGCACAGCCCTGGCACCTGGGTCCAAACGGAGCGCTTCACATGTCAAGGAAGGAAAGAAAAGCCAATCACTTAGGAGACAAAGGGATGTGCGTGAGGGAGAGATGGGCGTATTTATTTATTTATTTGCCGAGCCGCGTGGCTTGTGGGATCTTAGTTCCCCGACCAGGGATCGAATCCGGACCCCAGCAATGAAAGTACCAAGTCCTAAGCACTGGACCGCCAGGGAATTCCAGAGATGGGCATATTTAGCACCTGCTACCAACACACACGAAAGGATTACAATTGTTAGGTTACCGGTGACCTCGGTCCCCAGGTGTATGACCCTGCCATGTCCACAAGAGAGTAGCTTCTCTTCTCCCTTCCACGGCAATAACAGAGGCATTTTATTATTTAAAAACCTCATAGATCTTTAAGATAGCAGATCACATTTCTTAGTCTCTTCAGCTATGGAACCCATCTCCTTGTCATCGTGATTGTGTCTGAGGTCTGAATAAATGTGAAAATAAAGTCACATTTGAAAACAGCATTAAAGTCCAAATATGATACCATCATTTTAAGGAAGTTAAAAGAATTTTATTGCTCATCCGCACCATCTGTAGAGAATACATTTCCTGCACTGCTGGCATGCACAGCTCTATACTTCATGGCATTTATGAGAAAGGACAGAATGTAAAACGAGAATAGCCTAGGAAGACTAACTTAAATGCTTATAAACAAGTATACTCATTAGCATTAGTCTCAGTTAACATGACAGTCACTGTACATAACAGATTCAAAGCTGGAGAATAAAGAGTCACATTCTGAATATAGTTCTACTTTTAGCATCACAAACCTTTGGTTAATTTTTCAACATGCTTCTGGAGCTCAATGTCCACATTAAAATGAACATACGTGTCTTCTTTCCTTGAAGCCACGGGAGTATCCTGCACAGGAGTTAAATCTATGCCATTCAGATCTAGAGAGGAAAAAACAGTTTCTGCTTCGAGCCTTCAAATACAAAGACGTAAAAACTGCAAAGGGTTGTGTTTCCTGAAGAGGCAAAAGCCGAGAGGAGATTCTGAGGCCAATAAAGACCCATGTCTGGGGTGAGCAGGTACCTGAAGGCGGCTGGTTTCCAGGGTCATGTGGAGGGCACGGAGTAGAGAGGGTGGGAGACCCCCATGGATAGGAGGAGGAAGCCGCCTTCCACATCACAAAATTGGATCCTTCCTAGTTAAGAGGTGTCTTCTGATGACACAGGCCAGTACAGTTTTGTGAATTACATTTGGGGACGTAATATACCACAGTGGTGCTCCTACCCGTTTCCCAACCTTGATCGCGTGCATGACACGGAAAGGCCTATAAATCTAACATTATCAGAATTCCCCTGCTGTATTCAAGTCAGAGGACCAAACAATGGACACGACAGCTGCCAAGGAAACCTTTCCATGAATGAACACTTCTTACATATATTACTTAAATTCTGGTTCTATTTGCTATAACATAAGCTGATTTACAATAACCAGATGGCACACTATGTACGGTATACTGCTGTAATCTCTGGAGCCAGGAATCATCCAGTTTGATCTAATTCAACACAGACTCATTTAATGACTACTCAGTGTTCATGTATTATTCAACAGACCCATCTTAGGGACCTTAAAGCAAGAGAGTATGTTGGATTACTTCAGTTCCTAAAGATATTTAAATAAAACATGTTTCAGTTCAACCATATGCAAAGGTAACATAATATCTACATTTCATTTCATTTTTTTGTATTTTACAGTGTTCGTTCCTGAATGAGAGATGTAGTTTTGTGTAGGGTATAAATACTTTCCAGTAGACCATGGATTTGAGAACCAGTAACATCAGAAGTTAAAGTATCACAGCATTAGTGCTATGGATCATGGTCTCTCCATGTTAAAATTTTTGTCTGTGGCCAAAATCCTTTTTCTTTTATTTGGTACTAATGAACCCATGGGTCTGAATATTTCTATGATCGGTAAAAGTTCCCTCCATTTAATTTCAGTCCACACCTGTTTGATTTGTCTCAGACTGCAGGTTTATTAACTGTAGACTGGATTAACTGTGCAGTTATTTCTGAATAATAGTATGACAACTTCATCTTCAATCACCCAATAATTACTTTTAAAAGACTGTTGAGTGCTTTACAAATAAAGTGCTGTATAAAATGCTTGGCAACGACAAAACAATTCAATCACTGTGGCTTCCCTCTTAAACCAATGACCAAAAAAGTTGTTTTCAAGGAAAAAAATGGTTTGCCATTGGACAGAAAAAATCAAATCCTAAGAGTAATCATGCTTAATAATGACGGTAACATAGTTAAGTATAAGAAATACATCACTCGTCTAATGTCCCGCAGGATTATGTTCAGGGCGTGGATGTTTATGGACACGTCCTATTTCCCTGTCTCCACTCATGACTAATTGAAGGCCTGATTCTCATCCACCTCTGCACAGCTGTCCTATGTACAAACCTCTCTTGGACAGGAACGAGAGGACCTGAAGTGGAGGCGTGGGAAAACAGAAGAACACTGGGCTTTGCAAAGAAAACCACTCACCCTTGGAAGGTGGGGGACATTTTTTAAACCTGTTTTCTGAAGGATGCATCTGCTGTTAAAGACAGCGTGTCTGTCTAGTCAGCACCCTTGACAGAATTTTAAGAATAAAAAGATATACACAAAGAAAAAGCTAAAAGCAAATATGAGTGTAAGTTATGGATAGGGAAGTATTTTTAGTAAATCTCTCAGAAACGTTTGGTGAAGGAATGATGACCACCTCTTCCCAGGGATTTCACCTCACTGCAAAATCAACTAAAATAAGTTGTCACAGATATAAAACATCCCCTCCCTCTCCCCACCAAAAAAGTTCCAAATGACAAGCAACATTATAAAATTCCCCAGAGGGAAGGTAGATTATACATAGTTATTTACCTTTTACACTAACTGTGATATAGGGATCAATGCATTGCCCAGCATCTTTCAGGCCAATTTTCTCAATTCTGATAGTGAGTAATGTCATTCCTGGTTCTGATGGCAACCTTGGTAATAAAGTACCTGGCAACGGAGAAATAGCAATAAAAATGAGCTCCACCAATAATTTCAAAGTAAATATTTTAACAACATAGAGAAGATACAGATTTGCTCTTAACTGGCTTAGTAACTAGCCAGGCATCATTTTGGTTTCCAAAACTTACAGACACTTGATGTTACTCTTCTCACACAAATGCTTAATTAGACACGAGATACATCTACACCTCCATACTTCATATTCAACACTAAAGCATAAATTACTAACTCAAGTTTGTTAAAATTCCAAGCCAGGAAGCCCAATTACAAATTACCACGTAATTGAGAATGTACATAATATATATGCTTCACATTTACTCCTATATAATATACTCCATATCTCAACATGAAGGACACAAAAAGCTTTATAAACATTTGTTACGTATTCCTAAAGTTTGAAAAATTTAATACCAGAATCAATAAATCTTTCAGCTACTATTAATCTGAAATATTAATCAGGAAATAATGTATAACTTAATATTTATATATTTAATTGAATAACTTTACAGTGTAATTTCCCACTCCTTTCTTCATCCTATTCTGTATGATCTATCCTCTCAGAAATCAGTCCTACTGAGAATGCCACATAAAACCACAAGAGTAATTGTATGTTTGAAATCTTTTCCATAGATCAATTAAATTTTTTAAAACTGAAAAACCACCCAGAACCACACAAGAGCATTCCCCACCAAGAAAATGACGTGAAGAAAGAGATCGACTGTAGTTTGTTCATTTATTTCAAATAATCGATGAAGAACAGATGCAAACAAAAGTTGATTTTAATTTAATATGTATATAGTACCACAACTTACAGAATCTAACATTTATAAAGGGCTTTGGTTGACACTCTTCAAGTTTCTATCCAACAATGTGTTATTCTACTTTTAATGAGGAAGTATTTGAAGTACATGAATCAATCAACTTACCATGTTCAAAATATATTATCAATACATTTGACTGCAAATGTGCTTGAGGGAATTTTAGGGGGCAATGAAAATGTTCTCAAATTGGATCACACTGAATAGATGCACAACACTATAGATTTATCAAAAGTGATTGAATTGTACACTTAGAATGAGTGAATTTTATGACATGAAAATTACTATAGAAATCCAAGAGTTCTTAACTGGTGATACCTGTTAAAAATTTTTTTTGACTAATGACAAGGCAGAAGTATAAAAAGCAGAAAAACCAAAATGGGACATTCAAAGCAGTATTTAATACTGTTCCACATTACTTTTTCACATGAAATATTTTGCCACATTTCAACACATTTTCAATTTTCACAAGTTTTCTTACATTAAAGATAAAAGGTCTTTACTGCACCCACTGTCTATTCTTTAAAAAAAATTTAAATTGCGAATCTAACACATATTCAGAAAAGCAAATAAAACAAGTGTACAGCTTAATGAAATGCCGGAGAGCAAGCATCCATGTAACCAACAATGAGGTCAAAAAATAAAGCATGACCTCAGGAGTTCCCTTCTATCCCCACCCAATGCTCTTCTGAATTCCTCCTCACTACCCTGCCTTTTAAAATCACTACTAAAAAGCATCCCTGTATAATTGTTTTGCCTGCTTTTGAACTTGAGATTTATCCAATTGTTGTCAGTTGCTGTAATTTGTTCATTTTTATGATTTTCCAGAATTAGTATAGTATAGAGGTTGTACAAATATACCAGTTTTTGTATCCATTCTTCTGTTGACAGGCATTTGAGTTGCTTCAAGTTTTTGGAAATTGTTAACAAAGCTGCTGCAAACATTCTTGGATACATGCTCTGCTCCACCTAAGCACACATTCCCCAAGGGAGGACTTACTGAGTCACATGATATAGCACCTTCATGTTTGCTATGTAATTACGAACTATTTTCCACAGTGGTCGTGTCAGTTTCTGCTCCTAGTACAATCTCCATTGTTCCACATCCTCACTAGCCCTTGGGAGTTGTCAGATTCTTCTTTTTGGCCAATTTAGGTGTAGAGAAATACCAATCTAGTCTTAAGCTCATTTTGCCAATGATTAATGAGTTGAGCACCTTTTCATTTAAAAATAAGCATTTGTATTTCCCTTTTCCTAAAGTATCTATTCAATTATTTTGCCCACTTTACTACTGAAATGCTCACCTTTTAAAAATATATACTATTTATTTTGGCTGCGCTGGGTCTTAGTTGCAACATGCAGAATTCTTAGTTGTGGCATGCATGCAGGATCTAGTTCCCTGACCAGGGATCAAACCCGGGGCCCCTGAATTGGGAGCATGGAGTTTCACCCACTGGACCAGCAGGGAAGTCCCTGAAATGTTCACCTTTTTCTTAATGATTTGTAGGAGTCCTCTAATATTTTGACATAAGCTTTTTGTTGGATACATGTTTTACAAATAATTTCTCAGTGGCTTTCCTTTTTTAAAAAAAAACTGTATAGTGAAGGGTAACATATTAAAATGTGTACGAATTCTAGGCACAGCTTAATGAATTTTCACAAAGTGAACACACCTGTGTGACTAGCACCATATCCAGGAAAGAAAGATATTACCAGCATACTAGGAGCTTGACTTGTGCCCCCAAATCACTCTCTCTCCCAAGAGATAACAGCTATTCTTGACTTTTAATACCAAGATCAGTCTTTGCATGTTTAGAATGCCTTTTCTGTTTATGGTGTCTTCCGATTATGGTAAAGTCTTAAGGTTAACGTATGCAAATTTCTCAATCTCTAAATCCCTTTAGAGTCAGTGCTTTCTGTGTCCTATTCAAGAAATCTTTCCCCACTCCAAGGTCATGAAGGTATTCTTATAAGAGCTTTTTTGTTTTGCCATTCACATTTCATTCTATAATCCACACAGAATTAATTTTTGGCTATGGTGTGTGGTAGGAGCCCAATCCCATTCTAATCCACATGGACACTCAATTGTCCCAGCACTACTTACTTATTAGACTGTCATCTCACCCATGTATCTGCAGTGGCATTTTGATCATAAATCAAGTGTGGGTCTCTTTCCGGGCTCCCCATTCTCTCACTGGACTATTTCTTACCCTTGCACCACTACCGTTAAGTGTCTTACTATAATTTTACAAAAAGTCTTGACATTCGGTAAAGCAAATTCTCCCGCCTTGACATTATTCTTCAAGAGTCTTAACTACTTTTAGCCCTTTGCATTTCCATGTAAATTATAACACAACAGCTGTCAAGTTCTTAAAAAAAAAAACAAAAAAAAACACAAAACATCAAATAACAAAAACACTGTTGGGACTGCAGTGAAGTTCAGATCAATTTTAGAAACAGTCACATCTTTACATATTGCTTCTTCCAACCCATGAACTGGAATGTATTTCTCCATTTATTTAAGACTTCTTAATTTCTCTCAATAAAGTTCTACTGCTTTCTTCACATGGGTCTTATACTTCTCATTGGATTTATGAAACTATATTGATATTTTCTGATATTATTATAAATGTTATTTCATTTTCTAAGCAACTGTTGATTGTTTATAAAGATAAAATCAATTCTTTTTTGGTACATAATTTTTAAAAAATCAAGGTACAATTCACATACAACATTATATTAGTTTCAAGTATACAACATAATGATTTGATATTTGTATATTGCAAAATGATCACAATAAGCCTATAGAATCAATTCTTATGTACAGATTTTACATCCAGGAACCATGCTAAACTCTCTTACTATCTCTTTTTTTTTTTTAATTTAATTTTTATTTACTTTTGGCTGCATTGGGTCTTCGTTGCTGTGCGCAGACTTTCTCTAGTTGTGGCGAGTGGGGGCTACTCTTCGTTGCGGTGCGCAGGCTTCTCATTGCAGTGGCTTCGCTTGTTGCAGAGCACAGGCTCTAGGCGTGCGGGCTTCAGTAGTTGTGGCTCGCGGGCTCTAGAGTGCAGGCTCGGTAGTTGTGGCCCACGGGCTTGGCTGCTCTGCGGCATGTGGGATCTTCCCGGACCAGGGCTCAAACCCGTGTCCCCTGAATTGGCAGGTGGATTCTTAACCACTGGACCACCAGGAAGCCCCTCTCTTACTATTTCTAATTATTTACCTATAGGCGCTTTTGCATGTTCTACACACATATTCATAAAATCTACAAATAATTTTTATCTTTTACTTCTGTTTTTGGTCCTAGTGCACTGATGAAAAGAGGTCACAGTAGGCACTATGTCTTGTTATTGATCTGAAAAGGAATGCTTCAAGTATGATTTTGGCTCAAAGCATCCCTTAGAGAACACCCAGAGAACTGTTCTGTTCTCAGTCTGCTAGAATTTTTAAAAATCAGGAAGAGATTTAGAATTTAAACCTTTCTGCATCTATTCAGAGGATTATGAGATTTTCCTCCTTAATCTGCTAATGTGAATTGCCTTGATATATTTTACTTATTGAACAATATGTTCTGAAAAATCATCAGTTCGTGGAGATTTTCCTGATTATTATCTATAGCATTCTACAGTATTATTCAGCTAACCTACATATGACAGGTTGTTTCTAATATTTTATTATTACAGATTACACCATAATAAACAACCTGGCGCATATGCAAATATTTTCTTCATATTCTTAGAGGTGTATCCTGAGAATAAATTCCTAGAAGTGAGATTGCTGGGCCTAAGAGTAAATGTGTACTTCTGATGTTATTGTTAAATATTGCTGAATTCCCCTCCAAAGGGACTGTACTATTTTGTATTCCTACCAGTGATGAATGAGCATCTGTCACAGCCTAAGCAACAGTAGTTTTAATTTGCATGTCTCTTATTATAAGTTGAGTATCTTTTCATATGTTTAAGGGCTATTTGTACATCTTTGTGTGTCTGTATGTACGTGTGTACTGTCTGTTCATGTCTTTTGCCCAGTCTTTTAATGTGCTTGTTGGTTTTTGTTGTTGCAACTTAAAATTTTTATTTATATGTTAAGGATGTCAGCCCCTTGTCTTTTTTACTTTGACTGTGGCTTTCTTTCTTTGACAGTCAAAAGGTAATTTCTTATCCAATA